GTATCTTTGCTCTTGACCAGGAGGAAGGCTGTATTGAGGGGGAAGCACCGCTCAGGGACTTTATTACTAAATACTACAAAGAGCTTTTTGGCCCTTCCACTGAAACACTTTTTGAGCTGGACGAGTCTATCACTCATGACATCCCTCAAGTTTCGGAAGCGGAAAATGAATTCTTAGCCTCTCCATTTTTTGAAGAGGAAATTCGAACTGCGGTGTTTCAAATGGAACACAACAAGGCTCCGGGACCGGATGGTTTTCCGGCAGAGTCTATCAATACTTTTGGGACGTAATCAAGGCGGACTTGGTTCAGTTGTTTAACCAACTGCATATCAAAGACCTTGATATTTCCCGCTTAAACTTTGGGGAGATTATCCTACTGCCTAAGATTAAGGAGGCCAGTCGTATTCAACAATGTAGACCAATTTGCCTTCTCAATGTGAGCTTCAAAATCTTTACGAAGGTCACAACTAACCGGTTGAACGGGGTGGCTGACCATGTCGTCAAACCCACTCAAACTGCATTCATGCAAGGACACAACATACTAGATGGTGTGGTTGTGCTGCATGAAATGGTACATGAGCTTCACCGCAAAAAGTTGAATGGAGTGATCTTTAAAATAGATTTCGAAAAAGCCTATGATAAAGTTAAATGGCCATTTCTGTTGAAAACTTTACGCATGAAGGGGTTTTCACCAAAATGGTGCCTATGGGTTGAGAGTTTTGTTTCTGGAGGTAGTGTGGCCATCAAAGTTAATGATGAGGTTGGCAACTACTTTCAGACAAGGAAGGGGCTTCGCCAAGGGGACCCTGCATCACCCATTTTGTTTAACATTGTGGCTAACATGTTAGCTACCCATGTTGAGTGGGCTAAGGTGGCCGGTCAGGTTAGCAGCGTTATTCCTCATTTGGTAGAAGAGGGTTTATCTATCCTACAATATGCGGATGATACGATACTTTTCTTGGATCATGATCTAGATAAAGCAAGAAATCTCAAGCTGCTTTTATGTGCATTTGAGGAACTTTCTGGCCTCAAAATTAATTTTCATAAGAGCGAACTTTTTTGCTTCGGGGATGCTGCAGAATATGCACCTAAGTATGCTAACATTTTTGGATGCCAGCTCGGACAGTTCCCGATTCGGTATCTGGGTATTACCATACACTATCGGCGTTTAACTATCATTGGGTGGAAGCACGTGGAAGAGAGACTTGAGAAACGGCTAGCCAGTTGGAAAGCCACTCTTGTCATATGGGGGGCGATTGATCTTGATCAATTCCGTCCTAAGCAACATGGTTTTATATATGTTGTCATTCTTCCATCGACCGAAAGGGGTTCTTCAGCGTCTCGATTACTTTAGATCCAAGTTTTTTTGGCAGTGTGATAATGAATCAAAGAAATATCGATTGGCTAGGTGGACGGTATTATGTCGACCTAAAAGTCAAGGGGGGCTTGGAATTCGGGACCTTGAGATTAAAAATATTGCTCTTCTCAGCAAATGGGTTTATAAACTACTCACTGAGAATGAAGTATGGCAGGAAATCATTCGTAACAAGTACGTGGAATCCAAAGCCATTTCTCAAGTACATTGGAAACCTGGTGACTCACATTTTTGGTCTAGAGTCATGAAGGCCAAGGAATTCTTTTTCCAATTTGAGACTTTTTCGGTTAGGGACGGTTCCCAGGTTCGATTCTAGAAAGACACCTGGCTAGGGACTACACCACTCATGGTGCAATACCCGAGTTTGTATAGGATTGTTAGACATAAATTTGTCACCATCAAACAAATTTTGCGACAAGAAAACCCTGATATTTCTTTCTGTAGGGACCTTTTAGGACCTCGCCTTGCAGCTTGGAATGAGCTACTCATACGTCTAGAGGCTATTCAGCTGTCAGATGAACCGGACATCTTTCAATGGAATTTGCATCTGAATGGCAAGTTTACAGTCAAATCCATGTATGATGCAATGGTTCATTGTGATGTTCCGGTTGATAACAGGAAATTATGGAAGCTTAAAATCCCTCTAAGAGTGAATATATTCCTCTGTTCCTAAACAGAGGGGTCATCTTAACTAGAGATAATCTAGCACGACGCAAGTGGCAAGGCACCAAGCACTGGTAGAAAAAGGGCCTTTAGTCCCGGTTCTGGAACCGGGACTAAAGGGTCGGTACTAATGCCCTGACCCTTTAGTCCCGGTTCAATCCGGAACCGGGACTAAAGGCCCTCCAAGTGGCCGGTCCATCTTTAGTCCCGGTTGGTAACACCAACCGGTACTAAAGGAAATTTTCTGATTTTTTTTGAATTTTTTTTTTGAAATTTTTTTATTTTCAAATTTCTGAATTATTTTAACCTCTAATCTCTAATTACCCCTCATCACTGCTCAATTTAAATCACCCCTCATCATTCCAAATCATCTAACTTCCCGAACGGTCACCCATCCTCTCACTACTCCAGCCTGAGCACGCTTAATTCCGGGTTCTATTCTCCCTCGTTTCCAAGTCTGCACTTGTTGTTTTCCTGACAATAGTAAGATGTCAATCTTATTAACCCTCGGGAATTTAGCTTGAGCATGAAGTCACATATTTCACTGTTTGAGTTTGAAACTATTGTTCTAAAAAACAATAATTTTTTAGTAACACTAATATTTCTTGAATAAGTAGTTTGACCATTGTTTGACCACAGTTTGACCATAGTTTGACCAGATTTGACCAAAATTCAAAAAAGGTGAAATAATTATTTAATAACACTAATATTCTTGAATAATTATTTAGTAACACTAATACTTCTTGAATAAGTAGTTTGACCATAGTTTGACCAGATTTACTGAAAATTTAAAAAAACTGAAATTTGAGCATTACTTTTTTTCCTTTTGGAATTTGAGGATTCTACAAATTTGCAAACAGGCAAGTAGGCCGTCTCCATCGGATGTAACTTTTCGAGTAGATGATTTTTCATATAAAAAACTTTTTAATCCGAGTTCGTATGCAAAAGTTATGCCCATTTTACAAATTCCAGAGAGATTTTGTAAATAAAGTCGAAATTCATATTTGTAAATTTTCCCAACAACTAGACCACATATCACATGGGAAATTTATTTTATTTTAT